TGGATAAATACAGCTCATTCTAAGGTAACGAAAACACAACAATAACTTATATTCAGCTGATTATACACTAATTTTCTTCAAATAGATCCTCCTAAATGTTCTTTAACGCAGGTCACATCTTCATGAATAGATTCACAGATACTGTTTGTGGAGTCACATAAATGGTGTCCAGAAAGTGCTTTTAAAATCCCAAATGTGATTCACTTAAAGGTCTGAACTTGCTGTAATTGTCACCTCATTGGAGGGCCACTTTAACGTGACATCCTGGTGTAAGCTAAGCTGCATACAACAGTTTACTGGTCTTACTTAATTGTTACACTTCAAACTGGATCGTTTGTCAACATGACATGGCTAACTAAATACGAATATATTTATTTTAGCTTGCAGCGGTTTTACCTGATAAGCTGCTGGCGTTTTACGTGTTCTTCCGTCAACCATTGATCTCGTCCAGTGAGTGAACGTCAGCAGGAGCGCACACCATACTATTAAACAGTGTAGCACAATGACAGAAACAAGTGTAGAAGGTAAAATAATAGAGATATATAAAGAATACAAAAGAGTAGCTATATTTACTGCATATAATCTGTACACTTCTTACTTCTGGTTGCTTTTTAATGTTGTTTTTGGAGAATGTATCTTCACTTGAAAGTGAGCCCTGTTAGTTTAGATCAGTTCTAGAAAGAAAAAGGTTTACTTTGCATTTAAGAAGTGGGATGTATGACAAAATCCTTGTGCTTGTTGTTCACCCAAATCCCATAATTCAGTCCAGGAATACAAAATCTGCACTCATTAACACATTTTAACCAGGTCCACAGAAAGCCCATTCTCTGTTTGAAGACGGATAAGAACGATGTGGGAAAGTTAGATGGTTTTTTTTAATGATTGTATGTATGAAAATAAAAGCTTAGATAGTAGATAGTTCATGACACGATGGGTGACAAACGGGAGCTGGTTTACTGAAATCCACAAACTGATTAACAGACAGGATAGTTCATATTTCACTGCTGCTGTTTCAAGGTGAGCTGGACTGTCTTTGAAACTGTAACAGACTCTGTTGAAGTGAAACTACTCTGCTAACAAAGGCAGCCTGCACGAGTTACTCTGTATTCATAGTACGCTTTAATGGGTTAAAGTTCACACACACACACACACACACACTCCTCGTTATGGGATCTTTCAGGAGACGTGTGATCTAAATTTCCCCCTTAAATGATTTGCTACAGAAAGAGTCTCATACTTTGACACAAACAAGGTGCAGCTGCGATACGACGATCAGAATCTGCTGATCGGACACTGTTAAAGTCCACAGGTGACTGCTTGTTCTATTGAGGAGCTGCCAGTAATTACACTGAGGTCATCCCCGATCCTGTTGCTGTTTCTGCACTCAGATAACAAAGCAGTAGGAATATCTCTCTGTGTGCAGATATCTGATGTTGCTCCTTCTTTTTTCTTTAATAGATAGATAGATAGATAGATAGATAGATAGATAGATAGATAGACTTTATTTAAATTGCAGTGTAGCAGCAGCATTACACACAGTAACAACACAATAACTAAGGAGAACAACCTAGACATATATAAAAAAAAAAGCAATATAAAATGCAATATAAAAAAATGTATAAATAAGCTGTATAATTGTAGTGCAAGTAAAAATAAAAATATGGCTCAACTTCTCGTCCCTAATGTTAAAAGACCACGAAGCCAGGCCAAGAAATGTTCCACATGAGGGGAAGTGATCAGCTTTACTACCACCTTAACAAGACTAAAGAGTGATAACATTTGCTTATTAGCACCAAGTCCAAAGTACAGCCGAGGCTGATCGGTATGTCATTAGTATGGATGATAGCGCTGAAAGAGCAGGTAGTAAAAGATAATCTTTATACCCTTTTAAATAATTCCCTTTAAAGTCTTCTCCACTATATGGAGGCGTACGACAGCGGAGGGGTGATTCTGTTTTTCTATGACGACCGCATTGGTGTCTCTGTGAAAAGTTACTCAGAAAGACCAAGAAAGTGGATCACGTCGCTGCTATCTTTGCACTGGCTTCCTGTTTGTGTGATTTTTTTTTTTTATTTATTTTTTTTTATATATTTTATTTTTGTTTTTGAATTTGCGCTGTTGGATCTGTTGATAGGTTATGAGTCACCCAGACCTCACAGGTGGTTGGGGACGAGGTCGGCTTACTGCGGTAGTTGTTTCTAGAGGTTTCTGAGGAAATTGTGCAGTTTTAATTCAGACATACTTCTTAAATTATGTAAAACTCATCATTACAACTCAGAGGTGTTATTGTTAGGTTTAGGGTTATTCTAAGGGCCTTCTGTCGGCATGGCAACTGTTGGAAATGTGACTTTTTTTTTTTTTAAACCATGGCTGTAACCATATTCACTGTCTGCCATTTTACGAGTGTCCATTATATAGGGAGCAGAGAACGAGTGAACGAGGGAATGATTGGAGTAAATGTGTCACCTAGCTGCGGAAATAGATGTTTTCTAAGGAACGGAAATAAATGCCAATCTGCTCACAGTGAATTCCCATAGGTTTTTCTGATTGTATTGTGTGCAGCAATACAATCAGAATCATCTGCAACAGGAAGTGCACAGATGCCTGTTGCAGATGCCCAGTGAGATTAATCACCTCCAATCAATACTCCTCGTCCTCTCGGCCGTCTCTGTTTCCTCTCTTTCCTCTCAGGATATTGTCACATTATGAATGGAGATCACCAAGCAGACAGACCTTATTTTATATTAATATGTCCTCCACAAAAAAACCTTTAAATCCTTTTCTCTTTCTGTTTCGTTTTTAGGATGTTGTCCCGGTTGAGTGAGCTGTTGTGGGCCGACTGGATTTGGTTTCCTAAAGGCCACGGATGGGCTGACCTGAAGGACGGCGATGGCAAAGTCTTCCCGAAACCGCGGGACCTCTGGGCTACTGTACCCATCGCTCTCTGCTTCCTGGTCATCAGACAGATATTCGAAAGGTGAGTGATCTCCAGCTGTGAGTGTTTAATGATTTGTCGCAGTGTCATTCGCCTGTTAATCTGCCGCTCTACCTGTCTAATTTGCATGTTTCCCTCTGACGAATATGAAACGATGGATAAATTAGGTTTTACCCCGTGTTTTCCTCTTTCCAGGACGGTAGCACTTCCTCTTGCCTCCCTGCTGGGAGTGAGTGACAAGAAGCGTGTTCGTGCTTCTCCAAATCCCGTCCTGGAGGCCTATTTCTGCAGCACATCAAAGCACCCCACTCAGGTAATCATCCTGCACACTTTAGGAAACTAGCACTGCTTCATACGTACCGTGTGTCCTCTGGCAATAGCACAGCTTGAGTTTAATCACAGAACGCAGAGATGTTGGTATTCGAAGTATGAATGGAGGAGAAAGTCTCATGTGAGCAGGCAGCTACTGTCATTTTGTGATGCCAAACATTAAAAAAAACAACACTGACTCTTCTTTCTTTGTCCTGTTTTTGTTGTCAGAGCTCCATAGAGAGTTTATGTAAACAGACGGGCTGTTCAGTGCGACAGGTCCAGAGGTGGTTCAGGCGGCGGAGAAACCAGGAGCGGCCGAGCAAACTTAAAAAATTCCAGGAAGCAAGGTAGCTAAAGATCTTCATCCATCAAATTCAAATTGGGAATTGAATGGTACCTCTAACATTAACAAAGAAATAAGGATTTGTTGGTGTTTCACTCATTTAGTGTGATTTAACTGAATTCAAACTGAGGTTGCGATGTACCAAATCCCAGCTTCTTTAAAGCAGCATTTAACCCTAACTCAAGTTATATTTCAGGGCTCATTAGATGATTAACAACGTAGGAAAACAAAGAAAACATCTGTATTATATAGTTTCTCTGACTTTACTCTCAACTTTGCATTTTTGTTGTGAATACTAAACAATTCTACCTCTT